CTCTAGTTCATTCTTTTTTTTAAAAAAAGAACATTCTTTTTGAAAAGTGGCCACTTTTTTTTGGTTTTGCTAGTAGTCTAACATAACCTAGTACTGGCTCTATATATAACTGTGGCTTTCCCCTTATAAATAAGTCAATCGGTTAAGGCTTGACCCTATTAGGTTACCGACCTTGATGTCATACCATTGTGTTTAAGGGTCAATGGGGGAAATCAAAATGTTGTGGAAACGGAATAGAGCTAGGGAGTTATCCAATAAAAGCACACAATCAATGAGATGAGTCTGCTAACTCAGAGGAATTCCTATGCCTTTTGGCCAGCTTGGTTTATGACTGGTCGATCCCGCTTAGTACCCCTCTTGTAGTTTAAACAATTTCTCCAAAAAAGGTTGTTGTGGTTTATTGAAAATTAGTTGGTTTATGTCCTCTGATTCTCAAATTTTATGTTTTTTTTTCATTCGTTAATGGTATAATTGTCTTGTCGTTTTGAAATTTCTTAGACCTTTTCTAATTGTACTCTATTCTTATTTTATAATGAAGTTAGACAAAAAATGATATAATCCTCTTCCTTTTTCAAGAGTAAAAAACAAGATTATTCTATAATAATTTTATTTTTTATTCATAACTTTAATTTTACAGTGAAACCTCTACAAATTATTAATGTTGGGACTACACCAAAAATTTATTTTTTTATTAATTTAGAGAGATATTAATTTATCGATATACTAATCGAACCAAAAACTCAATTTGGGACTATAAAATTATATTATTTTATAGAGATACTTAGTGTATATTAATTTATCGAGTATTAATTTATACTGCTGTACTTCAAAATGGATTTTGAAATCTAAACCAAATCTAGTGTTATTGGATCTATAATTTTAAAATCCATATCAAAATCATGTGTTATAATTTTCATGATTTATAAATTATAATTCAAATCAGTTGTTATTCAATCATATTAATGGATTTGTTTCATAATGGATTTGAATAGATTTGTATGAATTTTTTTTGTTAAAAATACAAAGATTTAAATTCGAGGGAAAACCTTTAAATTTGTAACTAATTAAAATTCGTAGATTAGATTTGGAAATCTCTATATTTACTTGGATTTATGAATACTATTTGAATTTCTAAATCAACTGAAATATTTTTTAACTAAAATAATTTTAAGGCAATTTGACTAAAAACATTAGAGATGCTTTACGATTATGCATGAAATTTGTATAGCTATTAGCCGTCATCCTGTTTTCACATATTCGCATATTTTCTTGTTGCATCTTAACCTCTCCGAATACTCTACACCAGTTACGTTCATAGATCTCCCACCACACATCCTTTTAGATTTACCAGTTCTATTATCTGTAACCAAAACCAGGTAATGTTCTGTGTTTTGGAGATTTCTGTATTGTCCCAAAAAACATTAACCAAAAGAGTTTAACTCTTATTTTAGCTGGACTTCTTGAATGAGGCGGAGATGAGGAGCATCGCAATGGGGGGGGGTCTCGTAAGTAACAAAGGACTTCACGTGATCTAGGAGGATTCAAGGATAACCTACACGAGTGTTTGGACTTTGGAACTACATAGATCATTAGCTCAAGTGTGAACGGTGATTGCTACTCTCGAGGCCGTACACGAGACAAATAGGAGGACTCCAGAGCTCAGCTTATGTTACTAGCTAAGTAGCTAGAGTTTCTGACCAACGAGGCTCTGTTATGTCTGTGTGGCTGATTTTTTTTTTTTTTTTTGTTCTTTTGTTCTGAGTGTCATGTTAGGTTTCTTAAAATGTCTGAACTGATTATAACATTAGGCAACTTTTTTTAATTATTATTACTATTTCTAACTGCCTTACTCGTGCAGAAAACATAAAGCTGGGGTTATAAATTCATGTTTAGCTTCGGCAAACTCTGCAAATTGTAACTCTTGACTAGCCTGACGCATCAAAAATGTTTTAGCACTTGAATTTGGTGGGGGGTGGGAGCTTCGATGTGATTTAAGGCAACTTAATTTTACCCGATCAATACCTTTCTCATTAGGTACACTTTACAAGCTACAATGCACTCGATATGGAGAGAGAGAAACTCACGCCGCCACAGAGAGCAACCAACAGACGTGGCCTCCATGATCAAGTTTGTAGACAAAACAGTAAGACTGAAGCTCCTATCAGTTCAAGGAAAGAGACACAAACATCTTGAAGAAGGTTTGATCACTTGGTTTGAGACAAGACAAGAACCATAAAGGACCATAAAGGAACCATAAAGGAACGAAGGAGTTTTTTTTATTTTTGATTTTCAAAAAAGATACTAAATTTTTGATTTTCAAAAAAAAAAAAAAGAACCATAAAGGAACGAAGGAGTTTTTTTTTCTTTTCTTCTAAGAAACTGTTGATTCTTTATTCATATAGAAAACAGATGCATTTGATGTAAATCAGTTTGATTGAATAAATTTTACATTCATTCAAAAAAAAGTAAAAAAAAAAAAAAAAAATTTACCCGATCAATGAGAAATGTTGAGAAGTTGCTCTCTAACGATCTCAAATGTATACCAAAAAGCCCTTGTGATGCACTATTGTAATCACATAGGAGAAAGAGTACTCTCGCCATCAGAACGACTCTCAGTATGGGATAGACACCAGACGTACCGAATATAAGTTATTGACGTAACATACAATTGGTGTTCCTTTCCATGTTGGGGTTCTCTAAACTAAAAACAAATTCAAGTAGTTAAAAATCATTATCCAAAAAACACTCAGTGAATAGTAACCATATAGATATATTTCATGAACTACTTACTTATCTTACAAGATCTTCTCATTGTTTATCTTGATCTTTTGTCAGTCTCCTGGGCACGACTTATTCAACTCTCACCGTTCGGAATCTTAATTACGACAACAAACTAGTCGCCATAAAACGCCACAGAGAGTGACTGAAACAAGAAAAAAGTGTGGAACATAACAATCAAGTAGGTCTAACGTGGAGAAAACGGTGGCATCATCCCCACTGTGGAACCCGCAGCGTAGACTTTGACTTTATCAACGCTTACATAGTCAAGTCAATGCACTGATTCGTGTAACATAAAATTATTGCGACTAGCTATATTCACATTTTATTATTGAAAATGATTAAGAAAAGGGAGAATTTGCTCAATATACAAATCACTAATGAAAATTAAGAATATGGCTATGATTTTGACATAATTCATTCACTAACATTTAACTCAATAAAGATCCGGTTATACCCTTTTTAAGACTAAGTTCCCGGTTACTAGTATATAGACGAGAGGAGATATGGCCATAATTAAATTAGAACGGTTGATTTTTTGGGGAAGAGAAGTGAGTCACGTCACTTACATAATAACCACAAAATTTGCATATGTTCTATTCCATATCACTAAAATAGTATATGATACCAACACTATCTCAACTTCTAAATCTGGAAATTAAACCTTATCCCAACCCACTCTAACCCTTAATACTAAATCCTAATCACTAAACGCTAAACCCAAGTATAAACCATAAATCCAAATACAATGAAATAAAATACATAGTATAATACATATTGGTGAACAAGATAGAACAGTTTTTATTAATCGTCAAAAGGAACGATACATGGTAGGATCACTAAACCCAAACCTCAACCTCCACCTTCCAAATAAATACTAAACCCTAAATCTTAATTACTAAACCCTAAACCCAATGATAGACTCTAAATCCAAATAGAATATAACAAAATATATAGTATAGTACATATTAATTGTCAAATATAACGATACATGATAAAAAGGTATAGTAACAAAATATTTCTCATTACATAACATGAATATAACAATAAATATTATTTTACATTTCTATTCCATACGCATATAATAGAATAGAACACGATTTAACAAAAATTGCTCATCTACTCCAAAGAATAGTATAGTACACAAGTTCTTCTTCTTCTTTTTTTCTGGACATGGTGGCGTTCTTCTGAAAATAAAATAGAGCATGGAAACAACACAGGGTGACATTAAGCATTAATGGTACGGTCTTATAAGAACAAAACAGAGCATGGAACAATCTAAAGATGGCATTAATCATTAATCGTGATAATCATCAACACTTTTACCATCATTTTTGCATAATAATCTGAGATCTGTAACAACGAAAGCTTTAGATGCAAAAATAGAGTATGAAGATAAAAAGATGAAAGTAATTGATTTTTGGCTTCTCTAGAACAATTACCGATTACAAACACTAATGGAGAAGAAGATTACACATAAATTTTAGTGGTTAAAATAGAAATAAAAGAAGACAAAAAATATAGATGTTTGTCATAACAGAGCATCTATCTGTGAAGAAAATAAAAGAGCAGAGACAACAGATTATCCGGTTGTTTACAAGGGTATTTTGGCATATATTGCATAAAATATATTGAATATCATAGTCAACTTTTCTTTTAGCTATACACTTAATTATAATTTTTTTGAATGTTATTAGATGCAATTTCCCTTAAGAAAATCATACACTTTGTTTTTGGTGTTAAAAAAAAAATCATACAGTTTTTAATTAAATTATAAAAACTAAATGATAAACTGCGAAACGAATAGCCAATCTCGGTACAGATTTAAGAGTTGGACCTAGATTTTATAGTTCTGGACCCAACCTGATGTTGAGACATATCACACTAGATTTTTTTAGAACATATAAATTATCTAATGATAAAATTTAGTTAATCAAACTAAGAACATAACTTATACAAAATTATTGTTGATGGAAGACCATCATTTATATATTACGATAAACTGTATATTACGATAAATATATTAAAAGAAATGAAATTTAAAATCATATGTATAATAAATAATAAAATACTGTAATTTGGGAGTATATATTTTAAATATTAATTAGTTTCTTTTTTTTTCTTTTGAAACAATATTAATTAGTTTCTTATTGGAAAAAAACAAACCATAGAACACGTAAACGACTTTTCTATTTTAATAGCAGTTGCTTGCTGACCATAAATAACAGAGTAAGACTCCGACAACACCCACAAGAAGAAACTTTCTCTAACAGAAATGATTAAAATGGCAATGGCCGGTCTCTTTCTCCGGCAACTCATCCTCGCCGTCCTCTTCCTCTTCCTTCTTTCTCCTTCCGTCTCCTCCACCGAGTGGCTCGACATCGATGCCTCAGATCTCAAAGCTCTTCAAGTCATCGAAACAGAGCTCGGAGTCAACAGTCAACGCTCTTTGTCCACTGGTGTTAACCCCTGCGGTCACGGAGGAGTGTTCTGCGAGAGAAGACGCTCTGCCGCCACCGGAGAATACGTTCTCCGTGTCACGAGACTCGTCTACCGATCCAGGACCTTGACAGGGACCATGTCACCGGTTATCGGAGTGTTGTCGGAGCTGAAGGAACTCACCTTGTCTAACAACAAGTTGGTCAACGGTCTACCATTTGATGTCTTAAACTGCAAGAAACTCGAAGTACTTGATGTAAGAAACAACAAGTTCTCCGGTCAGATTCCGGGAAACTTCTCTCGTTTGATCCGTCTTCGAATCCTTGATCTTTCTTCGAACAAATTCTCCGGGAACTTGAACTTCTTGAAGAACTTACGCAACTTGGAGAGTCTCTCGGTTTCAAACAATCTCTTCTCAGGCAAGATCCCTGACGCAGTTGACTCTTTCCACAATCTCCGGTTCTTTGACTTCTCTGAAAACCGGTTTTTGGAAGGTCCGGTTCCGGTTATGAGCAAAACCAAGATTCAGACAGTTCCATACCAAACAAGACACATTCTTGCTGAGTCTTCATCTACGAACTCCACCAAGAAAGCTAACAACACCACCACAACATCAAAAGCAACTTCAGAACATAATAAAAAGAAGCTGAAGAAGAAGAAGAACAAGAAAAAGAAAGTGTTGGCATGGATCTTAGGGTTCTTCGTTGGAGGCATAGGAGGAACGCTCTCTGGTTTTGTCTTCTCTGTCATATTCAGATTGGTTCTTAGAGCAATAAGAGGACCAGAGAAACCATCAGGCCCTTCCATATTCAGTCCAATGATCAAGAAAGCTGAAGATTTAGCCTTCTTGGAGAACGAAGAAGCGTTAGCTTCTCTGGAGATCATTGGAAGAGGAGGTTGCGGAGAAGTTTTCAAAGCTGAACTACCTAATAGCAACGGGAAGATCATCGCTGTGAAGAAAGTGACACAACCTTCTAAAGAAGCCGGCGAACTTGTAGACGAAGAATCCAGGTTTCTGAACAGGTACATGAGGCAAATCAGATCAGAGATCGCCACAGTGGGTCACATCAGGCACAGGAATCTTCTCCCTTTGTTAGCACACGTTCCAAGACCCGAGTGCCACTACCTTGTTTATGAGTACATGAAAAACGGGAGTTTGCAAGATATACTGACCGATGTAGCAGCTGGAAACAGAGAGTTAATGTGGCCAGCAAGGCACAAGATTGCTGTAGGTATAGCTGCAGGGCTTGAATACCTACACATGGATCATAAACCAGCAATCATTCACAGAGACTTGAAGCCAGCAAATATTCTTCTTGATGACGACATGGAGGCTAGAATTTCAGATTTCGGGCTGGCAAAGGTAATGCCTGATGCAGTCACGCACATTACAGCCTCGAAACTTGCAGGTACTGTGGGATACATAGCATCGGAGTATCATCAAACACTCAAGTTCACAGATAAATGTGATATGTATAGTTTTGGAGTGATTCTTGGTGTCCTTGTGATTGGGAAGCTTCCTTCGGATGAGTTTTTCCAGACTACTGACGAGATGAGTCTGATAAAGTGGATGAGGAACATGGTAACGTCGGAGAATCCAAGCCTTGCTATCGATCCCAAGTTGATGGAACAAGGATTCGATGAACAGATGCTTCTGATTCTGAAAATTGCTTGTTACTGTACTCTGGATGATCCGAAACAGAGGCCAAACAGCAAAGATGTCAGGACTATGTTGTCACAGATCAAGAGCTAGGGCCTCTCTATGGTATACTGTTTCCGTCAAAATGTGTATTCTATATTTTCTGTTGCATGAGAAATAACCAAGAACACAATAGTGCTCTCTTGGCAGAAGCTTGTGAAGAAGATGTATAATTTAAATGTTTTTAATTATGTTTCATTGCTGAAAACATAAATCATCAGTCTGATACAATAAGCTTAGCTATATACCTTAAGGAAAGAGCACTTAGATTAACAACCATGAAATAACTATGTCTTACGTATTTCGTTTCTGTCTTCTCTACAAGCAGCCTTGGAGAATCTCCCTCAGATATTCTAGCTGTTCATGGCTTCCTTCATGTTCTTCCCACTAAAAAAATAATAAAAACAAAGTCAACATATGTTGAGATCTATAGACTCATAGCTGAAATGGACAAACAATATCAATTAAGTTTCTCTCTCACAGCAAGAGCATGTGTAACTGATTACCCTTGAACAGAAAATTAGATAACAATGTCTACTTGATTGTCATCATCCTAGTAACTCTATTTTAAATTTGGGGTTTTAACGTTACAAACCCACCTCTTGAAGAGACAAGGATACCACCTTCCATCCAGCAGCAGTAACATATCGCCGCTTCAGCATCGTATGCCCTAATGGTAGTCCTGTATAGAGAATAGACACACAAGTCGAAATGATCAATCGGTTTGGGTTGGCTCCACCAAACAACAAGATTATTAAAGGAACAGAGTGATGGCACATACCAGTGTTTCTTGAGAAATGAGTTGGCCCATCGATTTCTAAAGCAACTTTTTTCTCGACCAGAGCAACATCCACAGTGTAGCCATCCACATCATGTTCTTTAGCCCAATCAAATCCTGTACTTATTAGAAGGCGTCCAACTTCTTTCTGAAAAGATGAGGTTATTTTCTGATTGAACCTCTTTGTTTTTCCTGCACGGGTTATTTTTTCTTCGAGCCCCTCACATAGTGACAACTTGAGGTGGGAATACTCAAGTTTCAAGCACTGATTCACGAGATACACCTGAGAAGCAAACATGACATCTTCCCTATACTGTTCCGAAAGCCTTTGCTCTTCCAAAGTTGTCAAGATATTCCATATACTTGCAAAGAAAGATCGCTCCAGTTGCCCAAGAACAGCATAAGACCATGCTATGTTTCCAAGCTGGTCCCTGTTAAAGCTAAGTGTTGGAGATCCTGAAACACCATCGCTTACTTCAGCGTCTGCTACTTCATCATAATTCGATGTTTCTTTCGTCATGCAGCACTTGAACTGTTCATTGCTTTTGAAAGCACTGTCCAAAGAATCAAGCAAAGGACCAGCTGGCTCATAAAGCGAGGCAAATGACCACAATAGTTGAGCAATCTCTTGCCCTTTAAAGGTGGTGATAACGGTAGCTGCCCTCTTTGACAACTCAGCAAAGAGTTCTGGAGCAGAATGCCGCATGGAAGCAAAAGCGCCTGCAATATTAGCAACATTCTGAGAATTGAACTCCCCAACCTTAGATGTCGCAACTTCTGCGACTCTATCCATCTCTGTCATATAAAGCAATTCACCCCCGATTTTGGACAAAGCCCAAGCAATATTTGAGATGCCTTGAGCTGAACATTCTGGTAGGCATGTCATTGCAAGAGCAACAAGCATAGACATCTCTCTTTGCCGAGCAAACGCAAGCCTACGAGTTCTCATCATGGAAACTTTCTCCATGTTCTTGGCAATCCGGTGGAGTGCAGTAGCAATGTTTAAGGGAGACAGTGGCGATGGGCTTAAACCTTTGGCAACAGCCATGATTGTCTCAGCTGTTACTTCCAGTACCTCTTCAGCGGTTTGTGCTTCTATTATAGCTTTGTTCAGGTTGATCTCCTTCATCCGATCAGAAGGTCCTGAAAACTGGGACAGCCTCTGAACTAACTGCTCCCTCGTCTTCTCTTTCTTCTCCTCAAACATCCCACCAGCTAATGAGCTAACTCTCATCCTCAGTTCTCCCATCTTATCCTCCTCCACGGATCGATCTAAAAAGTCCAAACCTTCTTCATCTGAATCAAAATCATCTTCAGGAATACTTTTACTTTTAACCTTATCTTTCTTGATCTTCTTCTTCTTCTTCTTCTTCTTGAGAGGCATCACCTCCTCCATTCTAGAAGACAACCCTCTAGCCTCAATAGACTGAAGTGCAATTTTCCTTGCCCTTACACACCAATCCATCCCTTCAGTGACATCAAGCGCTTTCGACTTTGCCTGCTTTTTCCTCTTCTTTGGAGGCTGAACTTCCAACGGATCAATCTCCCCAAGAAACTCTGACTCCCAATCCGAATCATCATCATCATCTTCTTCCGAGTTACCAATCACAGACGAGTTCTAAAACAATAAGAAACAACGACAATACAAGCTTAGAAACCACATACAAGTTTGTTCTGCAACCTTATCCAAAACCTTATACAAATAAAGACCAAAAATTTATAAAAGCAAACACCAAAAGAACTCATTTTTAACCTAATTCTTCTGACTAATCTACGATTCTATGAAAAATGACAATAGTGAAGAACTAACCAGGCGATTCAGGGAAGCGTTCTTCGTGACTGGAGATAGAAACCGGTTCTTCTTACCAGGGAGAAGCGATATCCCTGGAGAGATGGATCAAAGAGCCTGTAAGGGTGAATGCGAAACAAAGGAAAAGAATACGAAATATGAGGTAAAAAGCGACCTGCTGCTAAGGAATTGGAGGAGGAGAAAGAGAGATGGAGATGTCGGTGACTGTTGTTAACGATGTGGTGGCGTATCTCCGGCGTAGTGAGAGAGAAGCATCGCCGTAGTGGAACTACACACTCCATCTTCTTCTTCAATCGGAGACTCTTGCTGTGGTGGTTTTAAACAGAGACTGGGTTTTAGATGGAACCCTCTCAACAAGTTAGTGAGTTTGCTTTCACTCTTATCTCATAACTAGTATTATGGCCCCTGCAGTGGCACATTTTTGGACAGTATAAAATTTTAATACTAAAAAGTATAATAATTTCTTCTATGTATGAGTGATGTAAATATACATGTTTTTTTGTTAAAATATATAAATATAAGTTTTACTTATTATGATTTTGTAAGTATAAACTATTTATAGAAGTAAGAAAACGTTTTATTAACTATATTTAAAGTGAGATTTATTTAAAAAACAAAGACATTTTTAAGAAAAAATTATGCAAAATTTTTATAGCAATTAACTACACTAACCAAACAAAATTCAACAAAATCAGAAACAACACACAAGGTTAAATAGAAAGACAACACTGGTATCTTATGAAAATCGTAGCAAATATAAATATTTTTTTTGCTAACTTTTGAAAATATAAATGTTGAAATAAGATAAATCAATATCGATTGTTTCATAAATATTCTTTAAATAATAAATACATATGCTTTTGGTTGTGGTAGAGAATCCCAGTATAAACCAAAATGTAATAATTAATAGTTACATGAATAGAAAATTTACCGCTCACCGAGTTATTAAAAAAAGCAGCCATTACCGCTCATGACCTGAGTGTCTAGTTGATATTTTCTTTTTTACAATTCAGAATTCGTTGATGAGTGGTCTTCAACCAATATTTTGTTTGCGAATAAAATTCTTAACAACTCTTAAACATAAGATTGATTTTTGCCTGGCCACAAAACTATACAAATTGATTTATAATCTGAAAGTGATAAAAAGAAAACAAATCAAAACAATATTATTGATCAATAAAATGAAACAAAGGTACTTGATATAAGTATGTAAGAAATTACATGAAACCGATCATCTATTCTCATGTTCCTCTCGTCGCATGCTCCATGTGGTGCCAACCATGCATAAGAAACAATTGTCATCACAACTCCAGGATCATAGATGAAATAAAAGTGCAAATGAACTCACCCGTCGTTTATCAAATAGAAAAATAACTTTTGTGTGTTTTGAGGGAGAATGTGTGTTTTTGATTATCACTTCCATAGTTTCACATTCTGCGATTTTTTTTTGAGAAAATTACTAGAATAGTATAGAAAAGTTGGTATATAACTAGAATGATATACATTTTTTAAAAATTACTATAATGTTTTTAACCCCAAAGAAATTATAATAAAGGTCTTTGTTTAATTTTTTTTTTTGAGATTAATTTTAATTATCAAATCCACATCACTAATTAGGCAATCCACGTCACTAACTTTTGTGACACGAGAAAATCAACCGTCTCCATATTTCCTGTGAGTAGAAAAAAAAATCATAATGTCACAACTCTCTTTCTTCATCGTTAAACTCCAACTGTTACCCAAATCGTCTCGTCTCAAACTGTATATGATATTGTCTTCGTCGAAACGTCTTCTCCGCAAAAGTTTCTACGTAATCATCTTCGTCGCAATTGTATCATCTTCTCCGGTATGTTGTGGCTTAGTCAAACTTATATTGAGAATGAGTTTGATTTACGATGTGGATGAGTTATAGATTACCTTGTAACTGAGTTATTTTATATTGTGGCTGAGTTTAATGTATGTTGTGATCCATTGCGGCTGAGTTATTGATTATATTCTGGCTGAGTTTGTTGTATTATGGCTGAGTTATACTATATTGTGGCTGAGTTTTGTTTCTATTAAGGCTAGTTATGTATTATGTTGTGGCTGAGTTTGTTGTATTATGGCTGAGTTATACTATGTTGTGGCTGAGTTTTGTTTCTATCACGGCTGAGTTATGTATTATGTTGTGGCTGGGTTTGTTGTATTATGGCTGAGTTATACTATGTTGTGGCTGAGTTTTGTTTCTATTACGGCTGAGTTATGTATTATGTTGTGACTAAGTTAATTTTTCTATTGCGGTTGGTTTATATATATGTGTTCTAGGATCAGATGGATATTTCTGAAGATCAAACACGGGATTATCCTCTAAGATATTATGCTCAAGGGGCTTCTAAAATCTAATATTCCTGACATTCTCCTAAAACCTAATAAAACACAGTTTGTGTTTCGAAGGAGGAAAGACAAATAAATTCCAAAAAACGACCAAGTTAGCGATTGTGGAGTGTATTCATTGAAATTTGTGGAATGTTTGGCGCTTGGCGTGACTTGTGATGGGATAAATGATAAGAATATCCCCTATATATTATTTGAGAATCATTTAAAAAGTTGTAAACTTAAGTTTGTAAGAATTAAAAATAACCACAATCCTATGTGGCATAGCTATTTGACTTCTATTTCAAATCCCAAGGATTCTAGAGCATGTGATATAATGTATAGTCTAAAAATTATATTCTTTAGCAATATAATATTTCGTAAACTATAGTTGGTCGCATTTATCAAATATTTATTGTTTCGCATGATTTCCTTAAATAAAACATACGGAATTACCTAATGTGATTAAAATATATATATGACAATTAATGATTTTAAACAATAAAGATTTGATAACAATCTGTATACTTTTTCTCATTTTGTTTATTTATTTATTATTAAAATAAATTACACAATTACATTAATCATATAATAAAAATCTAGATTTTTTTTGTGTATGTTGTATTTCGAATTTTTCAAAATGAGTATAAATTACTAAAATTGTTAAAAGTCTCACATAAACTTTTAGGATCAAGGTTATATTTGTTTTCTATATTAAAATATAATGATTATAAGACCATATGAAGACATAATTTTAGTTTATATATATATATATATATATATATTTCATATCGTTTTAATTAAACTATAAATCGTATGAAAATACATACTTATATTTTGATTGTCTTCAACATATATCGAAAAGTTAATATTTTAATTTTGAAATATGTCATTTTAAAAAAAAAATGATTATAAATTATTGAAACTACTAAACATCTCACATTAAAAAAAATTGTAGGTGTAAAGTTTTGTTACACAAATATGCAAATAATCATAAAATCATATGAGTAGAAACCTCATTTAATAAATCCATTAATCCTGAAGCATTCATAAATGCACAACCTTGGAGAGCATGCTTACGTGTCAAGCTCACAGAACTTCTTAGCTTTAATTTTTTAATGGACCAACTTTGCTAGGAATGAAATAATGTAACATTTAATTTCTTGCATTTAGGACTATAATATATAGACATTTTTTAAGGGACCAACTCTGCTAGGTATAAAACAATATATTTTATTTCTTTAAATAAAAGCTACGGAATTACCTAATATGATTAACATATATATGTAATTAATGATTATGAATAATACATATTTTTGTATCCTCTCTTTTTTTTTTGTTTAATTTTAAATTATTAAAATAAATTAAATAATCACATTTAAATATATAATAAAAAATTAAATTTTTTCTTATAGGTTATATTTTTAATTTTTTAAAACGACCATAAATAACTAAAAATAGTAAAATCCCACATTAAATCTGAAAATACGTGTCAATCAAACCAAAACCTATTTTGGTATTATTCTCATAAATCCTATTTGAGTTATTAAAATTCAAATAGGATTTATGAGAATAATACCAAAATCTGAAAATACGTGTCAATCAAACCAAAACCGACGAAGTCTCAAACTTTCAGACCTATGATGATTTAAGATACCAACATTTGTATTCATCATTTTATAATCGATAAATACTGTAGTATTGCAAAATGTTTAAAACCATTTAATGAATAAATATTAATATAAAAATTTCACCCCGCGCATGCGCGCGGGTTATCATCTAGTTCAAGGTATACGAGTGTCGATAGCAGCAGATATCCTCGATGAAGGAAGAAATGAGATGTATCAGACGTATCGTTTCTATAACCCAACTATATCTCTTTATATAACTCAGTCATATCACAAATATAGCCTAATATCAAACTTTTTTAATAAAATCCAGCCGTATCGTTTTATATAAGCCAGCCATAACGCTTCATATAATCCAGCCATACCACAAACAGACCCTAAAATCAAAAAAAAAAAAATAACTCAGCCGTATCGGTTCTATAAGCCAGCCGTAACGCTTCATATAACTCAGTCAAACCACAAACATACCCTAATATTGGAAAATGTACTTTAATATGTTGTTTGAAATTAATATTATCAATTTTAGATGAATATATAATCAACAGAGTGTGTATATTTCATTGAATTTACATGTTTCGAATTGATCATGATCTTGAGGTATATGTTGTCTTACAAATACTTAAAACCTTATGTGTCTATATAGGTGTTGAACACACCAAATACAAAGTATACCATATAATATTTTTTTTCAACCGAATTTGTGTAATTTCTTATATTTTATAGTGATAACTAAACCATAAAACCTAAAACCTAAACACTAAACCCCAAATAATTAACCCTGACCCCTAAAACATAAACTTATCATAAACATAACTCAGCCGTAACATGTCAATAACTCAGCCGCAAAGTGTAACTTAATCGCAACGTTTTTTTTTTTTGGGCGGGAACTAAATACTTGCAAAACACTGGGGTGGGCGGGAACATTACACAACCATGACCAGTGATTAATTTTAATCTTAGGGTTCAAAATTATCATTTTCTCTATCCTCGCCCTTCTTTCTCATTGGTTAATCTTTGTTTTTCAAAGATCACAGTTTATGGCTATTGATTAAATGAAATCTAAAGGTCAAAAATCATTCTCTCATTTTCTTATTATTGACGGGACTTAACCATTTCATCACTCTCTTTGACTATTTTCTTCTTCTAAAAGACGACGAATCCGATGAGGGAGGGAGCATCAGGATGTCGGATCACCATACAAGAAGGAACATCAAGATGTCAGATCACCATACATATACAGGAGGAAAGAAAGCTTCTTCTCTAACCAACCACCATCGAAGATGGCGATGAATACAATAGATCTGTCTCCAATTTTGTTTTTTTCTTTCTAGATCTATGTTGTTTATGCGACTGATATGT